GCAGGTTCTCCAAACCATTTCTCTAATGGTGTTTTACCACCAATAGTAGTCGATGGTAAGCGGTTGACAAGGTGACAAGCATAGACCAAAGCCTCAGCCCAAAATTCTTTGCCTAACCCAGCATTAGACAATATACACCGAACCTTCTCCACTAATGTACAGTTCATACACTCTGCCACCCCATTCTATTGTGGTGTATATCTGACAGTCAAATTCCTGACAATACCTTCTTCTTCACATACTTTCAGAAATGGATCATTTTTGTACTCTCCACCATTGTCTATACGGAGACGTTTGATTTTCTGCTTGTTTGAATCTCCACCATCTTTTTCCATTTAAGGAAAATCCTAGTACCTCATCCTTTGTCTTCATTGTATACACCCAAACTCTACGAGAAAAATCATCAACAAAGGTGACATAATAGTGTGTTCCTCCCAATGAAGTTGTCTTGGAAGGCCCCCATACATCTGAATGAACATAATCCAAAATACCTTTAGTATTATGGATTATTGTTCCAAATTTCACCCTCGTCTTCTTCCCTTTGATGCAATGCTTACAAAAAACTAATTTGCAAGCCCGAGCACCCTTCAATAATCCTTGATCTATCAGCAATTTCAAGGATTTTTCCCCAACATGCCCCAAGCGCATATGCCATAACCTGGTTGCTTCTGACTCCTATTCATCAGTAGAAGCTGCCACTGCTACTGTCCCAACAATTGTACTACCCAGAAAGTAATACACATTGTTTCTTTTCTAGATTCCCTTCATTATCACCAGTGCACCAAAGATAATCCTCATAATCCCATCTTTTTCCCTCATTTCTAAACCTTTTGACTCTAAGGTTCCCACAGAGATGAAATTTCTCATTAAATCTGGTACATAATGGACACCTGTTAAGGTCTGATTGATCCATCCTGATTCCTCAAGCGAAATGAACCAATCCCAAGTGTGTCAAGAGGGGAATTATTTATTGTGTAGACAATTCCACCTTTTAGTTCTTTAAAATCAAAGAACCATTCTCTATTGGGGGTTATATGGTGGCTACAAGTTGAATCTAACAGCCATGAACTGGAACAACTGGTTGATGGCGTAGCAACGAATGCGAAATCTGAATCTGCATCATCATACTCGACCACATTTGACTCTGAGACAGCCTTTCCCCTTTCAGGTTTGCCTTTATTCTTTAGCTGTGACATTCTTTCTTCTAGTGCCCTTTTTTCTAGACAAAATGCACATTCATCTTTGCTTAATCTGGACTTTGACTTCGATCTCCCTCTTTTTCCTTTATTCTGACTCTTCGAATAGCCTCTAACAAAAGAGCTTCTTTTTCGACTCTTGTATTTTCTTATTTGTCTTTCTTTCTCGATTCATAACTATACAAGGCAGATGTTACTTCACTAAGAGACACATCAACCTTCCCATGAAGTAGAGTAGTTTCAATATACTCAAACTCATCAGGAAGTGATCTCATCAACATCAGAGCCAGATCTTCGTCTTCAAAAGTCACGTCCATATTCATCAGATCAGTCACCAACTGATTAGAGCTAGTAATGTGATCATTCATAGTGGTACTTGGTACATAGTTGAAGAGGAACAATCTCTTTTTCATGTAGAGCTTGTTCTGACCGCTTTTCTTCAAAAATTTCTCCTTCAGTTCCTTCCATAATTTACTTGCAGAAGTTTCCTTAGAAAATGCATACTTCTGCTCTCTAGAAAGACACGATCGAATAGTACCACATACCAATCTATTGATCATCTTCCATTCTTTCTTCTCAACATCATCTTGTTTCTCTCATTCAATAGCAATCTCTAGACCCTACTGAAATAGGGTATCTAGAACCTCACTTTGCCACATATCGAAATGACCGGTGCCATCAAAAATCTCCACTGCAAATCTAACATTTGTCACAGCATTTCTTGCCAAAATTGAAGATGGAGAAGCTATTGACGACGATGTGGATGTTTTTGTGTTGTCTGCCATTTCTGCTACAATTTCTATTTAACAGCTGTCAATGCGGAATGTCAATTAGCCCAAGGAAATTTTTTTGATGTGGAAGATCAGCCTAAGCCGCAACCACAGAGTATACTAAAATAAACCAAGAGCTCTGATATCAATAGTTGTGGAATTCGGGTTAATATCCACCAATAATAACAAATTCACCTTGAAAACTATTATCTAGGTGACTAGTGTGAAAATGATTGTACTAAAAATCACCCCAAAGTAGATTCCTAAGAAAGAGTGGAGGGATCACAATAGTCCCTCTTAAAACCCACTCTCCTTAGACAAAACTACCAAGACAAGTAATTTTAATAGGACATTAATTAACAACAACTATACCCGACAATAGCTATTAAATAGACATAAAAGAGAACACCAAAATTTAACGAGATTAAGCCAAAATTATGCCTACGTCATCGAACACTACTAAAATAATATTTCACTAATAAAGGAAATATTACAAAGAGATAGAAAGAGTACAAATAGCCCTTAATATAGAAGAATGCTTATATTTGTGAGATGTTAAACTAAGGAGGAGGAGGACTCTTTTTATAACAAAAGAATTTTCCCTCCTCTTTATACAAAACCAACGTGGGATTCAAAATTTGCCAAAAAAACCAACATGAACTTCGAACCTTTAAATCTCATGTCAATAAGGGCATGCACTTCCATAAAACCATGAAAGAACTTGCACCCAATACCTTTCCTGGAGCCTCTCATTTTGTCTTCACTGGATAAAATGGTGTTAAAATCCCCTGCAATAATCAATGGGGAGTCCTTTGTGACTCGAATAATATCAAGGTCCCTCCAGAGGGCCCTACGCTTATGCTTGTCAGGACTAGCATACACAATGGAAACATAGAAATGTTTAATGCTCGAAGAGTCAGTAACACAGCACGGATATATTGAGGGTGAGCTGCCACCACAACCACCGAGAGAAGACAATTCCAAAGTAACCAAATTTCTCCCGAAAAGTCGGTCGCCTCGACTCTATAAGAATTCTCAAAGCCAGTACGAGTGATTACTTTGTCAGCTTTGCACCCGCTAATCTGAGTTTCCAAGAGAGCCACCAAATGGGGTTTATAATCATGAGTGTATTCTTTCAAAATTTTGGGGAACCTATGGTCACCGCATCCTTGACAATTCCAACACATTAGTTTAAAATCCATTTAAGAAAAAGAAAAAGATACCTTTAATGTTCTCTGTCCATGACAGCGTCAACTTGAGCAGCTTCCTCGCTAGAACTCTGAAGCTGGTCGTGTATATTTTGAACTACACCGTTCATGGCTTCACTTAAAGAATGCGAAGCTTTATTATTGCCGATAGTTTAACACCTTTGTTGCGGATCACATAAGGAGCAGCTCTTACTTTCGAAGAAGGAATACGACGACTATTACAAGAGTTATGAATAGAGAGAACTGGCGATATGTCAAGATTTTGGTCTCCATTAAAAGTAATGGCAGCATGCTTAATGGGGTTTAAGGAAGTAGAAGACAGTTACCCTTACCCAAGAAAATTATCAAATATAGGATTAGAACACGTGGGAAAGTTTGTCCCTTTTAATCTTAAAGTTTCATTAGCCTCGCCCCGATTAATTTGCATGGAATTGGTAACGTGCATGGGGGCATTAAGGTTTTCACCTGGCTTGGATGTTTGGACATGGTCAACGTTCGAGAATTGGGCTTGGGCGGTTGGGTTATCCTTTGACAGGATCTTCGGTAAAGTGGAGTCAGACTGCATGGGCTTCTTCCCTACGTACGTGAGAATGTTTTGTGCCACGAATATTTTCCTGAAAGTTAGGTCTTCGGCCTTGGATACCGGCTGAACTTTTGTCCATTTGCTTAGAAACAGAGGTAGCCGTTGGAAGGGATTTAGGAGAGATAATTTCTTCACCCAATATGGTTGGCGGATCATTTGAATTTTATCCTATATTATTCTCTTGTTTATTAGGCATATTCCCATTTCTTTGGAAAGAATCATTTAGGACCTCAAAACGTGATCCCAAGCTTTTAGCCTCCTTGTTTGAATCCATCTTTTTCGCTCCACCGCTGGCCTGCTTCCTGCGCCGCCGTTCCACCATCATCCATGATCCATACGGTGCAATATTGGAATATTCTGACTGATTTAAAACAGCAGGTTCGGGTTCTGCCACCACCTCCGCAGATTGTGTTATGGGAGATGCGTACGTAGCTCGGTTTGTTGGTTCTGATCCGGAGTTACGTTTTGTTGATTGTTGTGCGTACAGGTTTCCTTCATCTGTCCAAACCGACCACATGAAAAACAAATGAGGGGGAAATTCTCATATTCCATTACTTGAATCTTATTTCCCACAACCACTTTAGAGACCAAAGGCTGCGTTAGATCAACGTACACGGCTATCCTAGTGAACCTCCTCCTGTTGCTAGTGTCCTTATGAAAATCAAGTTTAGCAACTTTACCGATGAGACTACCTATACTGCTAAGAATTTTCCTGTTGTATAAGTACTCTGGTAATCCCGGAAACCTAATCCAAGCAATAACTGATGTTGGATAAGGTTGAGAAGTTTGAAAATCCATGCTCCATGGTTGAACTGTTAAATATTGCCCATAGATAATCCAAGGTCCTTCAGCCAAAACCTTGGCGTAATCTTCGTTACATTGGAAACGAGCGAGGAAGTAACCATTTTCAAGATCCATGAGAGTAAATGGACGACTAGGCTTCCATAAAGCATAAGTTTTGTTGTTTAGAATATTCAGACCAATGTTTCTGCCGAGAAGCTTAAGAATCACCGTGTTTGCCATACTTTGTTCCATAAGTTTATAAGCTCTATCCGAGAATTGAATGGATGGTAATCCGTATCGGCTACAAGTGATGATATCTTCATCAGCGAATTCAATGTCCTCACTCAAGTCAATTACCTGCTCGTTATTTATACTCATTGCGATTTCTTTACCCGTTAAGATTGCTGCGTACGAACGTTCCGGCACCATCGCCTCATTCAGTTCCATTTCTGTATCTTGTATGGGATCATCCACCATCGGTTTGAATCTAACTTTTTTTGTGTCCTCAGAGTCCGCCTGAATAGCACCGGGAGAAGCCAGAACCTCAGTATCGCTATTAGGAATTTCAGAGCTCGTTACTTTTTTTCCTTCGAGTGTCAGATTCTAAATCCTACCTTTAAATGAAACAAAATTTTAAGCATTTAAGTTAAACAAATATCAGTCGAGTTGATGTGATATTTTAACTCGTATTACGAAACGGGCTAAGGGTGTTACATATACACCATGGGTAAATCCTCAATTAGCTTCTCTTCGTTCTCTTAGGTTGTTTTCGCCGTTCTGTTGGATGTTCGATCATTTCGAATCCTGTTGATTAATTCAGGCAAGGTTCACGGATCTCTAGCTCGTGCCGGTAAGGTGAGAGGTCAAACTCCCAAGGTGGCAAAACAAGATAAGAAGAAGAAGCCTTGTGGCCGTGCTTACAAGAGGATGCAATACAACCGCCGCTTCATTACAGCAGGTGATTACTTTTCTCTACCTTCTGGATTTCCTTTTTCTTCTTTAGGTTATTGATTATCTACTTGGATAATCTCTGAGACCAAATGGTTATAAAGAATATGAATGTAAAGTAATTTCTTTTATATTGTGGTTTTTACAGTGGTTGGATTTGGCAAACAGAGGGGACCTAACTCATCTGAGAAGTAAGCGAGCTATGTAGGTGAAGAAGGCGAAAAGCTTTTGATGGAATTTAAGTCTTTGTTTTCTTTTGATAATGATTTTATGATAGCTATTTTGAGCTACTGGTTTCAAGGATTGGAATGAACTTTTACTTTTAGCTACTATCAGAGAATGTTAAAACTAATATGACCTCACGCATCTCTATTTTTCTTTCCATGATCATTAAAGGTTTAAACATTCGTAGTTATGGTGTTGCCAGTTTTGTTCCTCTGGAAGGGTTCAAGTATATTTATAGGTTGTCTTTGAATTGATTATTTTGTGGCTCTGCAATGATATCATGTTATTCAATCCTCATTTTAATCAATAGATAGATGATGCTAGAACAATCTTCATCTATATATGAAGAAATGAGACCGATTTGGATGAGCTAAATGGAAAAACTACGGTTTGTGCTACGAACAAAACAGTGAGAGCAATTTAATCAAAAATTGATGGCCAAACTTTAGTCTTATTATTGATTCAACAACAAAATTCATGTTGGAAATAGGGACAAAAGAACTCAAAAGAGACATGAGTAGTAGCATGCTTGTAATAGAGTCACCATCAACCTGCTTACTTCTATCTGCTCCCAAGAACATTCGATATGTTCATATAATCATGCAAACTACTTAACAAAATTTACCAGAAAAATGAAAAAGCATTCCCCGTTGAGAAAGATGCCATAAAAGTTGGCATTTTCCTAGCTTCATTTATCCATAAAAGGTTCAAACAAGAGTCTGATGACAGCATTCTCAAATGATAAAGCTCAATACCATATAAACTCACAGAAAGGGTGAGACAACTACAAACGTACTTGACATCATAGAAGTTTATCTGCTCAGAGTTCATCATGAGAACTTCCTTCTGGTGATGGAATACGCTTGGGTGTATTTTCCACGAGGTAAGTTATCGCCAATGATGCATGTAGAGCTGCGCCATATGGAAATACGTCTTCATTAACTCTATAGTGGGGTGAATGCCCCGAATGAAATGGTCCCTGAGTTTCATCCTTTATTCCAAGAAAGAAGAAAAGTCCTGGAATTGCCTCTGAATAGAATGCAAAGTCCTCTGCTCCCATTAAAACTCTTGCTTCTGCAACATTCTGAACACCCACCATTTCCCCTGCAACCTGTCTGAAATGTTCATGCAACTCTTTGTCGTTGAACACCACAGGGTAAGTATACTTTTCATCGAATGTCACTTTCGCGGTGCATCTCTGTACACTTGTTTGCTTCGTAATAACCTGTAACTTTGCATTGTAAGTGAACATCCAAGACGGAGCAAATGGAGAACTCCTCCAAAAGACAAATGCAAAAGGGGAAAAGATAAATGGAAAAGGAGTAGAATCATCTTAAGCTTCCAACAAGCAGTTCTTGTCATCAAGAAACAAAGTTAGGCAGATTGGATGTAGGAAACAAGAATAGTACCTCCTCAATCCTATGTTTGAGTTGAACAAAGCTTTCTTTCGAAAATGCCCTAAAAGTGCCACCTATTGTAACAGAATCTGGAATGACGTTAAATACTCCACCGCCTTGGAATTTTGCAACACTAACCACCTGCAAAAAGATCATATTTTTTAAGCAAGTTAAATAGAAATGTATTTTCATTTCAAGGAGAAAGTATCTCAAATTTACACAAGGCATCTTTAGTAGAATACATTTAAAACCGTAAGAAATAGAAAAAACGACATTTAAGCAATAACAGAAATGAAATCTGCAATGATCATGAACATAAGTGAAATCCATTAATATCAGTCCTAGAAACTGACATAATATCTACAGCATAACATACAAGTGAATGTATTTTCTATGTGGTAGAAAAGAAATGAAAAAAAGCAAAGGAAGTTCAATCACACCAAACCATAAATTGCATTACACTAAATTTTCCAAGAGATTATATATATTGACCATGTTCAAATAAATATGTTTGTGTCCAATACAATTTGTAGGTGATGTTACCTTGAGAAAACGAGGATGGGGGAGATAACACATTTCAGTGGAGTTTGGTGAAAGATTCAACATAGCTTTCCAAGGTGACATTTTCAACACTTTTCCAATTAGCAGGGAGAAAATGGAACACGTACAATGGGAACTAAAGCTAACACTGACTGTTGGAGCGCATAACCAAACGAGCTGAGCATACCAAAGAATCCAAGGGATCAGCTGCACGTGAAATTAGATGTTGCTAACTAACAATCACATTGTAAGCTGCTAAAATGGGTCTGCTGTATGCTGAGGAAGAGCAGCATGTCCCCCCGTTCCATTTATTACAGCCTCGAATAAACAGGTTGCAGCTAAAAGCGGGCCGGGCCGGGACGCCACAACACCAGTTGGGTATCTAGGAGATATATGGAGTACAAATATGGCATCAACGTTATCTAAAGCTCCAGCATCCAACATTTTTTTGGCACCCCCACCTGCTTCTTCAGCCGGTTGAAAAATAAGAACCATCGTTCTCTATTAAACAACACTTTTAAATTTAGCTCAAAAAGCAGATGTAGCTAATCATATGCAACTGGAGTTTGATTAAGAATGCATCATTATCGATACCAACTCCTATAAAACAAAGTATTTCTAATGCACGAATTACTCATTTTTTGCAAAGAAAAGGTTTCAGATTATGCTTACACCAACATTCTAGCGTAAAACAACCTAGAGAAACATAGAAGCCGTGGAATCAATTTATGCTACAAGTTAGTGAAAAAGAACCCTTAATATATATTAAAGAAGTTAATAATTTAGAGAGGCCACATCAATTAACATTGAGAAAAATCGCAAGGAACCTGCAAATCATTTTGATGTTCTTGAAGCATCTTTGCAGCACCAAGAAGCATAGCAACATGAGAATCATGTCCACAAGCATGCATCTTTCCAGGAACCTTGCTCTTATGTTCCCACTTTACCAGTTCTTGTAACATCAAAACCCAATAACTCCCTTTCATATCAATCGCATATAAAACCAGCTTTAAATAGTTAATTGCTAATCTAACTTAATATTTAATCTTTGTTCGTTCAATAAAAGAAAGCGTAATAGTATATTTATCTCAATTACAATTTACAAGCTCATAAACACAGCAAACTATGCTACATGATGAAAATGATGTGACTGACTATAATCCACAATATTAAAACAGACTACCTCCATGGGAAAAGAATCCATATATGCTCTAAGTGCGACAAAAGGAGTGCCAATATAGCCAATAACACCAGTAACAGCAACTGGGTATTTGTAAGGAATCCCCATCAGATCAAGCTCAGATCTTATAAGCTTACTAGTCTTAAACTCTTCATAACCGAGTTTAGGATGCTCGTGTATTTTTCTTCTAATACCAACCATCCAATCCATAATCTCTGGTTTCCTGGCAAATTCAAGGAAATCGAGTCGAATTCTATCCAAGTCTTTTATGTTTAGTGAAGGGTTTGAAAAAATGGGCGTTGGCATAAATGAATGGAGAGTGAAAATCAGTAAAATCAATATGAGAAAAGCCATTGAAACGAAACGAATGTGGATTTGAGATTTGGGTTTGAAGACGATTAAGTGAATGAAATCAAATGGCCTTTGTATGGGGATTGCGCAATAGAGGAGTTGCTAATTGCAAAGCAGAAACAGTGTTGTTCGGCTTTGGTTGAACTTATTGGGTCAACGTACGCTAAAAACAATCTATTAACGTCGTTGTTGTTTACGTAAATAAATTTTGAAACTTGCACGAACCAAAGGACCATCGTTGTTTTTTAAAGGTGTGTTTGAAACAAGGGTCAATATATACTACTTTGTATTTATCATCAATTAATAATTTTTTTTGAAATTTAGTTAAATTTATCCCAAAACATTAGTTAAATATTTTATATTTAAAAAAGTTTTTATAAATTATTAAAGATTATAACATTTTAATCTTTTAATAATTTTTTATTATTATATGAATAGATTAAAAATATTTTATTTTTGTTTGAGTAGATTAAGAAAGCATTATATTCTTACTCAACCATTTTAAAATGTTAACACTTTATTTGAGTTGATTAAGATTATTAAATATTTATTTGATTGTTTTAATATATATAAAGATAAAGAAAAAAATATTTTAAGTACAAAAATATTTTTCAATTAGACTAAAGTTTAGGGTAAACTATGTCAATAATTGATTTTGATCACCAATTTTTTAATTAAGTGTGTTTTGTCTCTAACGTTAACCCATTAATGGAAGTGTGAGTTAGAAATTAAAAAATCAAAAAAATCAAAAACCCAACCCACATGTTTCTTCTTCTTACTAGACCTGCAACTCATCCCACGTTTCTCCTTCTTCTTCTTCATGGACCCTCTATAATTTCTCCAACTTTCTGAAAATGTTTTTTTTGGGTAAGTTTGAATCTTCTTCTTCTTCTTCTTCTTCTTCTTCTTCTTCTTCTTCTTCTTCTTCTTCTTCTTCTTCTTCTTCTTCTTAATGGTCCCTCTATAATTTTTCTAACTTTCTGAAAATATTTTTTGGGTAAGTTTTGAGAACACAATAATCTTTTCTTCATGGACCCTCTATAATTTCTCCAACTTTCTGAAAATGTTTTTTTTGGGTAAGTTTGAATCTTCTTCTTCTTCTTCTTCTTCTTCTTCTTCTTCTTCTTCTTCTTCTTCTTCTTCTTAATGGTCCCTCTATAATTTTTCTAACTTTCTGAAAATATTTTTTGGGTAAGTTTTGAGAACACAATAATCTTTGAGTGTTTTAATGTCGATCTGTCCATCATCAAGTGAAGGTGTTGGAGAAGAATTTTAAAGTAGAAAACAAGCTCGAACCTATTAAAGGTAGAACTTGCATAGTTCATGTATTTGCATGTGTCATGTAGTTGAGTGAGGGAAAACGGTAACCAATTATGGTTAGTCTGTTGTAAGCAGTTTGAGTTGTCAGTCTTGGAGTTTGTGCATATGTGCATGTTATATAAGCATGTTACTGTTGCAACCTAAAGACAGAAAAGTCAATTTATTTTCTTAAATACCTTTAGTTTTCATCATGGTATCTTTCGCTGATGGTCGTGGGCTTCCTTTCTTACTTTCATTGCTCGGCTAAGTGGAGGTTCTTTCTATTTTCTTTTTTGCTTCGTTTGTTTTTCTCAATAGAGGTTACATCCA